ACAGCCCGGGCAGGATGGGCAGTGGGGTGAAGGAGGTGCACTGGGGTGCTCTGAACACAGAGCAGGCTCCTGGGGCTGTTACCTCCTCCTGTGCCCAGCCCAAGGCAGTCAGAGCCTCTCCTGCCACCCCAGTCCCTGGAACTGTCTGACCTGAGGCTGATGAAACTCCAGCCCCCTCCAGCAGCTTTTTTGGTGGTAAATGCTGAGCAAGCACAGAGACCAGCTTGGGGCAGCTAAAATTAGCAATAACTCCATGTTTGGCACCTCAGCTCCCCTCTCTGTAAGGTGGACAAACCAGGCTAATCTTCCTCTATCCAAGTGCTTGGAGGTCAATGGATGGGATGTGCTAATTAGATGCTAATTACCCGCTATTTATTTATGATCCTTATCACTGTAGCAGGCCTTTCATTCACACCTCCTGGCCTGGATCCCTGCCTGCTGAGTTGTTCCTGGTGCAGCCCTTCTCTGGGAGCTGTTTCTTTTGCCAGGGAAAAAACAAAGCCCTTTGTGCCCAGCCCTGCCCAACCACCCAAAACCAGGGCAAGGTCATGGCCAAGATCAGCTGCTGGCCATTCCAGGGGAGTTGTCACCTCAGGGTTCCTGGGGCAGTGCCTGGTACAAGCTGTGACTCCCTTTGGCATCAGAAATCCATCCCACGCAGCACCCAGGGGGTTTGAGCACGTTAAAACAGCGAGCAGAGCTCCAAAACCTCCAAGCTCAGCCCTCAGACACAGAGAAGGAGGTGGAGCAGGGGCTGAAGAAGGCTGAGAGTAACAGGCTCACACTTTCCATTCCTCCATAGCCTCTGTGGCCATTTCTTGCTGTCATTCTGCCTCTCCAACCACCCCATATCACTTGGGGTGTCAGGACACCAGGCACATCCCTCTCTTCACGTTTTCTGCCTGTTTTTGACGTGTCTCAGCACCTCAGTGGCACTGAAGGTGGCTGCAGCACCAGCTCACCTGCACAGGCTCCTCCAGAGACGATGGGCTGTGGGTTCTCCCTCTGGGATTTGGAATTGTCTCTTTTCCTGGTGTTTTTTTGTTTGTTTGTTTTTTTTTTTCCAGAGGTCTCAGGCTCCATCAGCACAGGATTTTTGGGGTTGGGTTGGTGTAATCTCAGCTGGTTCCCAAAGGTCCTGGCTGTGGGGTTGAGGTTAAAGGAGAGGGAATGAAGGGCACACCCACAGCTGCCCTGCGAGGAGGGATTAACAGCCAACCACACAGGCCAGGCCTGCACCACATTAAAAAAGAAAAAAAAAACTTTAATAATTCATGGGATCTGAATATGTTTATCCAGCTCTCCCTGAGGAGCGATTAGGCCGGTGCTGGGGAGGGCTCAGCCCTCCTCGCTCAGCTATTACAGGTACATTTGTTTGGGTCTTGCAGGCAATTTAGGGATTGTCAGTGGACCACGAAACCTCTTTCAAGAGCTGCATGCAATAAATGGAGTTCAATCTAGTGAGCAGCCAGCCTTGGGAGAAAAAAAAAAAAAAAAAAAAACAACACAGAAGGCTGATGCAGAGCAAACCCTGCAGCAGCTTTTCCCCTTTCTGTCTCCCTGTTTTTCCCCTTTTTGCTGCCCAAAATCTTCCCTCCAGGCCCCAGAGAAGAAAAGTGCAGGGCTGGTTCAGCCCCCTGATGGGGAGGGCAATTTGTTCAGAGGGAGAAGGCTGAATGCTTCTATGAGAGTTATGGCGCATTAAAGAGATTGATAAGTGGAAATTTAATATTTTATTCCGGCAATCTGTTCCCCTAATAGCTTCTCCTGCCTTGCAGGACCTTTGTCAGTCGCAGGCAAGCCATGTAGTGTGACATGTAACTATTTATTACAGGCAGTGGGTGACAGAATAAAAGGCTGTGCTTGTGTTCTGCACATGTGTGGTGGCTGTGCACATGGATATTCACACCTGTGTGATCCCAACCTGCATCCTGGATTTACACATTTCTGATCCCATTTTTGTCCTGCCCATGGATTTACACACCTGTGTGATCCCATTTGTGTTCTGGTCATGGATATTCATGTGTGTGACTCCAATGGACTTACACACCTCTGTGATCCCATTTTTGTCCTGCCCATGGATTTACACACCTCTGTGATCCCATTGGACGTTCACACCTGTGAATGATCCCATTTTTGTCCTGCCCATGGATTTACACACCTCTGATCCCGTTTTTGTCCTGCCCATGGCAATGATTTTCCCAAACCTGCATGCCCAGGGATGCCCTGCTGCACAGGACACGAATAAAGCATTTTCAAGTGGGAATATCCATGGATTCATGAACATGGGCTCTTCTGGGTGCACCCTGGTCCTGTGCAGGAGACACTCACCCCCTTGTGCACTGGCTCCAGCCAGAGGAAGCACAAGGAGAAAGGGAAAAAAATGGCAAATGGACCTTTGAAGGAGACTCGGAGAGCTGGGGGAGCAGGGAGAGCATGTGCCAGCAGCTTTGCAGCCCTGGCCTTGGATGTGCTACAGGCAGGGGGGAGGAAAAGCTGGCAGGGGTTGCTGACCCCCCCTGCTCGCTTGGCTTCCAGCAGGGAGTTATTTACACACCAGCAGCGCTCTCGTCCCAGCAAGGTCGCTGCAAACAGCCCGTGGGGCTCGCTGGAGCCATGCAGCCCTTTCTGGGAACTCCTAAATGCCAGTTCCTGCAGCAGGTGCTCCAAAGCCAGGCAGATTTAGGTGGGAGGATGTAGGGCTGGGGGGGCTAAAGAGTGGCAAGCCCCGAGGCGGGGTCTGGCTGATGCTAATCTCCCAGAGTGGCTGTGCATCCTGTCTGGTGGCATCTGTGCCAGGGAGCAGGGCTTGATTGACAGGGGATAGGTGACCTGAGAGAGAGATTAAAGCCTAAGACACGTTTGGCATCTGGCCCGAAAGCCGTCGCACTCTGACACGCCAGCGGCAGCTGCTGAACTGCTGGATTAGTTGCCAGTGGGTTTTCCATCCCCACCCGCCCTGCAGGAGCCCCTGGGAGGGAGAGGAAGGCTTGGAAAGCTGCAGAGGGACATGCAGAGGTGCAGAGGGGAGGGAGAAGGTCAGCAGTGCTCTGGGCTTCTCACATTGCAGCTTTGTTTCTCCTTATCTTCCCTCGTGTACATAACTTAACACACGAGCAAAGTCCTGGGATAATTTGGCGTGGGCTGTTCCGGCAGGGAAAGTTTGCCATCAGCAATCTGGCTCCTAAACGAACCCTACAGGGTCATTTCTGTGTTTGCTGAGGCCATCTGGGAACTGGGAAGCCCCGTGAATATGTTGGAATTCAGGTCCCTGTTCCTCTGTGGAGCGCTGTTCACTTTGTGTGGATGTTTGGTTGTCCAAGCTAGGAGGAAATCCAGAGTCTTCCTCTGGAAGAGCTTGGGCTGACACATGCCCAACAGCTCATTCCTCATGGAGTTTGCCATTTTCTTCAGTGCCCGTGGCTACAGGGAGAATTTGGGCTGGGGCTGGCTTTTTCCTTGTCCTTAGGATTGAGGAGAAAAGGATGGTAATGGGACTTAAAGGAAAAACTTGTCCACAGGAAGCAGTCTTTTAAAATATCCCAGCAGATGTGCAGAAGAGCTTTTGAAAGCTGATTTCCAGTGGATCTGCATATCACAGAAGAATTACCGGGTGTCTAAAAATACCTTTTTTTCTGATCTGGGCCCTTCCTGCTCCTGGGAGCTGCCTCCTGTCCCTCTGGGTTCTCTGATGTCTAATGAGGTTTGGCTCCCACCTCTGCTGAGGATCCCACTCCAGCCGTCTCCAGGAGCTTTCTGGGAGGGATAATTTCAGCTCCTTCTGTCACATAGCACTAAAATCGGCCAGCAGGATCAAAAAAGCAGCAGATAAAGGATTGATGGACAGGTGGGATGATTTGCATAGGCCTCATTTTTATTGAAAAACTGCCATTAAGAGAAAGATGGGATTCTTTAAAACCTGTACTTTTGGAGCCATTCTTGTGGTGGGGAAGGCTGGGGGAAGTTTGTGGCCTCGCTGTGCTGCAGGAAGAGGGCAGGAGATGCCTGGAGCCTTGCAGAGGGATCAAAGAGAAGCTGTGGGCTGGGCCAGGTGCCAGGCTGAGCCCGGGGTGACCTCCTGTCCCTCTCCCTGCTCTCCCAGCTGCTGTCCCAGAGGTCTGGCTGCTGGCACAGGGACAGGAAGCTGGGCTGAATGCAACAGCTGGCAGAGCCGGGCACGGGCAGATAGTGTTGCTGCTTTAATTCCTATTCATACAGCACTCCCTCTTTTTATAAGGGCTGGGGGGTGGCAGGCGGGGGGAGGCTTTTCATGGTGGCATTAAAGCCTGGCTTGTTCCCCCTCCCTCGGCTCCGCTGTCTCCTGTTTCTCCAGGCTGCTTTTCACAGGGGCTTTAATTCTCTCCAGACTCTTCCTAATGGATTTTTCACATGGGGCCCCCGAGCACGCTCAGGCATCGCACCGGTTCCCAGAAATTTCACGCCCCACTCTCCCCCACTTTGGACACAAAAAAAGGGGATCCTTTTCCCACACTTCCCCCTCTCCCCTTGGTGCTGCTCTGCTCGGAACGGGGTGGGCAGAGGGGTGGATCCCAATCTGTGGGATTAATGGCAATTTGGGGCTGCTGGTGGGTGATCTTCCCCCTTCCTTCCTTCCTTCCTTCCTTCTTTCTTTCTTTCTTTCTTTCTTTCTTTCTTTCTTTCTTTCTTTCTTTCTTTCTTTCTTTCTTTCTTTCTTTCTTTCTTTCTTTCTTTCTTTCTTTCTTTCTTTCTTTCTTTCTTTCTTTCTTTCTTTCTTTCTTTCTTTCTTTCTTTCCTTCTTTTTCTTTCTTTCTTTCTTTCTTTCTTTCTTTCTTTCTTTCTTTCTTTCTTTCTTTCTTTCTTTCTTTCTTTCTTTCTTTCTTTCTTTCTTTCTTTTCTTTCTTTCTTTTCTTTCTTTCTTTTCTTTCTTTCTTTCTTTCTCTTCCCACAGTCTGGGTTTGTTTTCTCTGGCATGGGAACAGAGGGTGGGGATGGGATGAGGAGAGAAAACAATTCCTTGCCTGAGCAACGTGTGAAATCCACCAGGGATGGATGGAGGGATGATGGATGGATGGATGGATGGATGGATGGATGGATGGAGGGAGGGATGGATGGGTGATGGATGGATGGATGGATGGATGAAGGATGGAGGAAGAAGGGATGGATGGATGGATGGATGGATGGATGGATGGATGGATGGATGGATGGATGGATGGATGGATGGATGGATGGATGGATGTGTTCCTGCTTGAGTCCGCGGCGCTGGCGAGTGCTACATTGGAGGTAGGCAGCACAAAGGGCAGGGAAAAAATAAATATCTCATGAGAAAGGTAGGAAAACATCCCACCTTTTCTTTCCACGCATTCAACCTGGACTGTTAATGAGGCTTTTAACAGGAAAGTGGGCCAAGCTCCTTTAGAAATGAGGCACAGCCTTCCCCTCTCCCAGGGCGGAGGGATCGGGGTGCTTTGGGGGATCTGCACACCATGGCTGGGGCTTTTCAGGGTGGCTTTGGGGACTCTGGGGCCACGCACAGTCAGCCTTGCTGCAGGGAACAGCAGGGTGTGAGGAGGCTTCAGAGCTGTGGGAAAATGAAAGGTTGAACCCTGGGGATGTGCTGGGGTTTCCCTGCTCCCTCTCAGCCCCCAGGTCTCCCCAGCTTTGTGCACAGCTTTGGGAATTGGGCACCACAGGGGCTGGGACAGTGAGGAGCAGCCCCAGGTGTGGTAAATGCAGGTGAAGCTGCTGGGAAGAAATGCTGATGTCTGACTCCAGTTCAGAGGCTGAATGATTTCTTTATTATAACTACACTATAATACATTAATAAACTATTTAAAGGAGATATTAAAACTACAAACCTACTTTTTCTAACTGCCATATCTGCCTCACTCCCAACTCGTGCCCCTCTCTGGGAGCCCAGCCCCAGGTGGGTTGGATTGGCCACCAGCTCAAACAATCCTCACCAGAATCCAACCAAGCATCATCCCAGGGAAACAATTCTCCACACACATTCCACAGGGGAAAAACAAGGAGCAGAAATAGAAATTTTCTTTTTCTTTTCTCTGTGCTTCCTCTATGAAAACATCCTGAGAGAGAGACGAATGTGCCTGCCACAGCGGGGGCGGTGGCTTGGGCAGGGGTAGAGGGAACAGTGTGGATGTTGTGTGGCTGAAGCTGAGCCCTCAGCAGGCAGGACCACGAGGGGATGGACGTGACTGTCCCTGGTGTCCCTGCAGAGAGGTTCTGTATTAACCAGCTGGCTGGGACAGGCCTTTTGTTGATGCAACATGTGGCTTTGGCTTTCCAGAGCCCAGCCCCACTCCCTGTGCTGCAAACCATGCCCTTGCTGCTTCTCTAAGGCAGTTCTGGGAAAAAATGCTGGCTCCTGCCTGCACAGGATCTTGCTCCTGATTCTGGCTGCAGCGGGGCCCCTCCATCTGTCCCCCAGCCCACTCTGCCCAGTGGGCTGCTCTCTGTGTGGGTTCAGCCTCAGGAGGCTCTGCTCCAGGCGAGTCAGCACTGCAGAAACCAAGCTGCTGTTGTCGGGTTGATGTTTCAGGAAAGGCAGGAATTAATCATCTCCCAGGCACAAAAAAAAAAAAAAAAATACTAAAACATTTATGGCTCAGGCCAGCAATTGCTCGAATTCAGTGCCCTTGTCCAAAACCTGCAGCTGTTGCTGTGCCTTCACTTGGGGGAAGCTCTTTTGTCCCCAGTCCCGCAGTGGCTGGGCTAAGCTGTGCCAGCAGGGTATGGAGGGGGTGGGCAGCAGTCACTGCCTCTCATCCCTTTGCAATCTGCTGCCTTTGAGCCCCTCTTTGCCATCACCCCAGCCTGGCTGTGCTCAGGGGTGCTGAGTGTGCTGCTGGGTCTGCACCTCTCCTTGGCTGCTGGGGGAGAAGCAAAGGCCAGGAGGCTCCAGGGGTGGGAAGAGCACTGGGAAAGGTCTCATGTGCAAAAACAAGGCTGCCACAGGGCATTAACAGGGCACCTGCTGCCTGAATTGGGAGGCAGGTGAAGGGCTGAGACAAGCCCGGGGTGTTCAACAGGCTCTGAGCTCGGCCAGGGGCTGTAACTGTGCCCAGCAAGGTTGATTGAAGTCCTGGCTCCAACTTTATCTGTGCCAAAGTGTAGGTGTTGAAGTGCATGAAAGAGAAGAGAGCTGCTTTCTCATCTCTTTCCTCTGCCTCTTTTTGAGTTATTTATTCTTCTTTTTAAATAGGTCAGGGTAGCTGTAGGAGCAAGATTAGCAGGAGGAGTGGCACTGTGCTGGCCAGGGAAGGGGAAGAAGCAGTGGGAGGGCTGTGTCCTCATGCTGCAGGGGCAGCACAAGGGGTCAGGAGCCAGCAGGGCTCTGAGCAGCTCTGTGAAGCCTCAGGGCACCTGTGGGTGGGGAATCACAAGGTGCTGCTGCCTTCTGATCCGGGCTGGGATGTGAGGGGAGGGATGCAGAGCTGGTGGGTCCAGCCTGGCTCCTCTGAGCAGCTCGGTGCCCACCCTCGGGTGGGGTCTGGGGTCTCGCTCCCTGTCAGGAGCACTCTGAGGGAAACTGGAGCTGGAATTCTGTCACCCGGTCCAACGGAGCGCGTCCGGACTCAAGACACGGGGCTGGGGAGGGCAAACCACTGCTTCCAGCCTGTTGGGCTCCTGCATGAGGCTTGGCCAGCTTGGCACGGCACCTTCCCCTGGCTGAGGCAGAGCTGACCCCTGTGAGGACGCTCCTCTTCCCCTTTCCCCAGTTTTTCCCTTCCCTGTTCCTTACCCTCATCTTCCCACCCCTCACCCCCCGCCCCAAACTGGCAATGAGAGCACGGAGGGAGGGCGCGTTTCCGCATGGTTTGACACTGTTCCCCCTTCCATCTGTCTTTTCCTACCCAGAATTTCCCTACACCCCGTCTCCAATCGATGATCACAAATCCATGGTGCAGCCGAACATCCCCACACCGGTGATTGGGGGCATAGTGGGAGGCGTCTCGCTGGTCCTGCTGGTGGCCGTGGTGCTCTTTGTGGTACTCCGGCGCCGGCGGCACACCTTCAAGGGTGACTACAGCACGAAGAAGCACGTCTACGGCAACGGCTACAGCAAGGCCGGCATCCCACAGCACCACCCGCCCATGGCCCAGAACCTGCAGTACCCCGACGACTCGGACGACGAGAAGAAGCCGGGCCCCTTGGGCGGCAGCACCTACGAGGACGAGGATGAGGATGCAGGAGGCGAGCGCAAGCTGGGCGGCCCCAAAGCCTACGAGGAGGATGCCAAGAGGCCTTACTTCACCGTCGACGAGGGCGAGGCCCACCCCGAACCTTACGACGAGAGGACACTCGGCTTCCAGTACGACCCCGAGCAGCTCGACCTGGCCGACAACATGGTGTCGCAGAACGACGGGTCTTTTATTTCCAAAAAGGAGTGGTACGTGTAGCTCCACGCCCCTCTGCTGCACTCACACTCACACTCACACTCACACACTCACGCTCACAACCGAGCTATGCCCTCCCTCCCCTGCATCCCTCCGAGCACACCCACGCACGCCCCGGCCCCGCACGGACTTTTTGGATGCTGGGGGCCAAAAAGCGGGGAGGGAGGGCGGCTTTGCTTACGGATCATTTTTTGGGGAGGGGAGGGGAGGGGGTGGGGCTCGTGCGGGAGGGCGGGAGGTCGGGTAATTATTTTCTCTCGGTTTTGGTTTGGCTTTTTAATTTCCTCTCTTCGACGACTTTCGTCCCCTTCTGTGGTGTTTGTATTGGTCGGTGGCTTAGGTGTTACTCTTTGCTTTAACGACTGTTGCCCAGGCTGTATATTACACTCTGTTTGTGTCTTCATGTCTCAGAGTGCCCTTCCCTCCCCGAGCCTTCCTCCTCCCGCTCCCACCCCCCTGAAACACTGGAAATTTGTTTGTATGTTGTCTTCTTTGTTTGTTTTTTAACCTTGGGAGGGGGGGGCAGGTGGGCTGTCCATAGGACAGAGGCCAGGAGAGTTTTATGGCAATGGAAACATAGGTGCCATTTTCAGGTGTATGGATTTTGGGTTTTTTTTCCCCCTAATTACTTTTTTTTTTTTTTTTTTTTAATCAATGGGGTCTGGGTGACATTCCCATTGCCTGCTGCACACCTGGAGAGAACCACACGCAGTTTTTAATGACTCAATAAAAGGAAAATGAGGAGAAAAGAGGGGGGAAAAAGCCCTAGACCAAACCCCAGGTGCAGGGGCTGATAGCAGAGCAGGGAAACAAAACTGCCATTTTCCTCCTACAATTTATTATCTCCTGGCTTTCCATTTTTCTGTCTTTGTTTGAGTGTTCTTTGAAATGAAAGAAAAGGAGTATTTATTGCTGACACTTTTCCCCCGTGATGGCTCAGAGAAAGGCTGGCTCCTTTTGTTCTTGTCGCTGTTGTTGTCGCTGGTACCAGCCACAGAGCAGTTCACTGGGGCACCACCGTGCCGGGCACATCCACTGGGGAAGGGACCAACTGAGGACACTTTGCTTCCACACATCCACTGCCTTCAGCTCTGCTCTGCACACCCAGGCAGGGCAGGACCAGCCCCTGAGTTTTATTTTATTATACCACTAAGGCTTAATCGTCATGTGTTTACACTTTATTTTTTATTTTGGTCAGAGCACGGGGGTGCTTCTCTCTCTCTCTCTCCTAGCAACAACCCCAGCCCGTGGCTGCACCACGTAGGTGGCATTGATTGCCATTTTCCAATATCACATCCCTCTCCTGAGCACAGGCTTGGCAGACAGGGTAGGAGGGATTGAGCCTGGGGTATTGATCTTTCCCTCCTTGCCTTGAGCCACGGCGTTGTGCTGGGGAGGTTTGGATTGCTGCTATCTCTGCTCTGTGAATAAATGGGATTCCAGACTTCAGGGCCCTCTGTCTCACACCGACCATCTCCAAATTAAATTCACTGGGTTGGGGCTTATTTTTCTTCTTGTGGGTTATATTAATTTTTTTTTTTTTAATTTGATGTATAAATAAATCTTTTGTTTGAAAAGAAATCCCCAGTTTTCTGAGCTGTATTATCATGCACATCTAAAAATAGCAGGGCTAATTCTCCTCCTGCCTTACCCGCTGGGTTTTGTTCCACAGCGGTTATCCTGCTGCAAAAAAAGGGAGGAGGGTGGAGAGGCAGAGCCACACAGATGAGTCAAGGTCAGATCTCTGATCCAGGCAGCCTCCAAAGCTTTCCTGTGCCATGGGGTGCTCAGTGCAGGGCACATCCCCAGCCATCCCCGTGTGCTGTGATTGCATTAGTGGGGTAGGAGAGTGGGCAATCCAATTGTTGGGCTGTAATCTCTCTGCTGTTCCTGCCAGCCCCTCAGGCTTCCTGGCACCTGGCACGGCAGCCACATGGCACAGGAAGCACACATGCAGCTCTGTGTCCTCCCAGAGCCAGGGCGGGCAGAGATTCCCTCGGGATCCCTCAGCCTGAGCCCTCCCAGCCCCATCCACTGCCACCAGGAGCACCCTGCTATCAGGAAAGCCCCCAATAAAGGAAATAAAACCTCTCGCCAGCTCTCCAATTCTCTGATTAGTGATGATTAGGGGTGGGAATGACTTCCCTCCAGTGCCTCGCGAGAGCAGCACACACAGGGCTTTGATTTCCCCAGAGGGAGAGCCTGTAATCTGGCTCAGTGTGTGGTGCAGGGAGAATTCCCAACAAAGTCCATCTCTGGAGTGAATAATCCTGCAGATCTGAGCCCCAGAGCCAGGCTCAGAGCAGGATGGTGACAGTGCCTCCAGCACCAAGCCCATCAGCAGGCACTGAGAGAGATCAGTGGCACAGATTTCCCCGTCAGGGGGTGGCTGTGGAAGAAAACAATCTTTTATAAACCCTGCAGGGTCCAGCGGTGATTGTTCACATTGAGGCCACAGCTCAGGTCTGGCCAGTTCCCACCACACTGACCCCACAGCTCTGTGTCCTAAAGAACAAAGGTGCAAAGGCTGGCAATGGGGCAGAAGGGCCTGGGAGAGGTCAGGGCTCCAAGGCTGCTCCCAAATTCAGGGATGACCAAAGGAACCCTAGGAAATTGCTTTGGGAGTTGTAAGCTTGCCATTGAGGAGGTCATTTTTGGAGCTGTAGCCTCCTTGGCTTATTTATTGCCCACTCACACACTGTCCACCGATGAGGGCTCAAAACCCCAGTGGGACCCGAGGAAAGGAAAGGAGAGAGTGGAGCAATGTGGAATTTCCCAGCTAGAGCCTGCACACAAGTCCCTCCCTGCTGCAGCACTTTTTCCTGCCCTTTTTGCACCAGCCAAAATTTAGGGCTTAGCTCAGCCACTTACCTCCTCAGAGTGGTTCAGAAAAGGGGTCAAATGATGGTTTTTCATCCAGAACCTGGAGTGGAAGATCCTTAGCCAGCGTTGCCTGGCCCAGCAGCGAGGCCCCTGCGAGTTCAAGGCTCAGTGCTGCTTTTCTCTCATCCTTGAGCTCCTCAGCATTGCTCCCCTGGTGCCATTAGCACCACAGCCACGGAGAAATGCCACCTCTGTGCTGTCATTTGCTTCTTGCTGTCCCTTGCAAGGTCAGCTAGACGGCCCAGAGACTCTTGGGGTGGTAATTAGCCGAGTGATTAGCCATTAATCCATAGCAAGGTGGAAGAAAAAAGAAGTGTGGGGGAAGAAAATCAGATTGATGCTTCATCTGAGAGCTGTTTTGGTCCAGTAATAGCATCACTGCCTTCTCTGGGTTAAACTGCTCTGAGGGGGCCCTCGAAGGGATTTAGATGAGTTTTTCCAGCATCATCAAGCAGGAAGCGATCCCTGTTCCCACCTGAGTGCAGGGGTGAGCTCAGGAGAGAGGCCAAAGTGAAGAACCACCACGAGCATCCTGCTCCTGGGGGCTCCAGCAGGGAGGGACTGAGCTGGGACTGTGCAGGGCTCAGCAGCAGGGACAGTTTTTGCTCTGGTGATGGTGTCACCCATCCCTTTGTGCCCCAATTTCCCTCAGAGGGCGGATTCTGTCATGTGTGGGGTGCCACACATGAGCTGGGCCGCCTCTCTGGGACCCACAAGTGAAAAATCCCCTTCTTCTCCCACCCCCTTTTCATCAGAGGTGCTGAGGAGGTGGAAATGCCCCTGTGGGACCTGTCAGAGAGCGAGTGGGAGCTCCCAGCTGGGAGAGTGAAGCTGTCCAGGGGCATCCTCCTCTCCAGCCCTGCAGGAAATGTCCCATTTCTCACCAGTCCCAAACTGGTGTGGCCCCCCTGGCTGTGCCTCCTGGATGGCAAAGCCTCTGGTACCTCAGGGTGGGTGGGGACGCTGAGCAGGCAGTGAGAGAGGGGTCAGTGACCCAAAATTCAGGTGAATTTAGGCCAATCCCCCATTTCCTTCCCAATATGGATGCAGGGAGCTGTACAAGCAAACAGATCTGTGTCACAGCCCACAATGAGCCTGTGCTTTATGTACAAAGACACCCCAGCTGTTTCCCTGCTGGGACTTTTCTCTAGGATTATTCATTGCAATTCACCCTAGTGGTGTTATTTTCCCTTATTTAATTACCAGGTTTGTTGGTTTTTTTTTTCCCGTTAAATCATTTTCATTCAAGCAAGGCGAAAAAAAAATAAATAAAATTAAATTAAAAAATCAACCTGAAGATTTCCTTTATGAAATAAATCAACAAACTGAGATGGTTGCACCAAATTGACTGCAAAGACATGAGGGACAAAGGGAGCCATTTTCCCGATGTTGAGTCAAAAAGAAACACAACAATTGAGCAAAAATCACGGAGGGTTAGGGAGAGAGAGACTCCAAAGGCTGATCTCGAGGCAAATAGAAAAGGGAGTGTGATTGGAGCGGGGGCTGCTGCTCTGCTGGGCTCTTTCCCTTTGCCCTACACGAGCACACACACACACACACGCAGATTTTGGGGTTTGGGGAGAAGATCAGATGCAGGGGAAAACCCCATTTCCCTTGTGGGGGCAGCTGTGTCATCCTTGCAGGAAAAGGGGGGACCCCAGGTTGTTAAATTCCACTTTTCAGTTCCCCCTCAAGCTCTGCTGTTGTAGCACTGAAGTTTTGGGGTCTCTTTTTGGACACTGCCAGCATGGCGTGGCTGCTGCCTGTTCTTTGCTGAAGAAGGGGCACCCTGCACCCCAAGGAAATCCACTTGGAATTTTCCCTGGGATGAGCAGGAAACCATTGGCACAGGGAGGCTGGGAAGGTTTTGGGTCCTTCCCATCACCCCAAAACTCACCTGGAGAGGGGAGCAGGGGGGGCTCAGCCCCTCAGCACGGGGAGGAAAGCCAAGCCTTAAGGGTGGGCTGGGATTTGGACACCCCAAAAGGGACAGGGAGACCCCAAAAGGGTCAGGGAAACCCCAAATGGGACAGGGATATCCTAAAAGGGTCAGGAGCAGGGGGATTCCCTGTGTGACTCCCCCGGGGTGAATGTAAGGAGCACACGGAGTCAGATCCTCTGCTCTTGGTGGAGGGACTCTCACTGAGGATCTGGATTTTCTTTTCTTTGGCCTTTCTCTTTTTTTTTAAACATGATTCCTCAGCTCCAGGGATTTTATCTCTCTTTTTCTTCATCCTCTGGCTGTAATGATCATTGTGGAATTAAAACTGCAGACAGACAAACAAACAACCCCAACCCCACTTTATTTTTTTTTTTTGCTTTGATTTCTTTTTATTTTCTTTTTTATTTTGTAATCTGTGTTGTAAGTGCTTTTGTAAAAAATAAAAAATAAAAATAATAATAATAATGTAATGGACTTTTATGATTTTTTTTTTCTGGGTTTTTTTTTTTATTTTTTGGGTTGTTATTTTTTGGTTTTTGTTTCATTTTGTTTTCCATCCTTTGTAATTTGTTCATTTTGAGTCCTGGGTTGGGGGGGGGGAATTTTCATGGTTATAATTTGTGTGGGCGGGGTGTTGCATCACCCTTCCTTTTACTTGTATAAAAAAACAATAGTGGCTGAGCTGTGGAAAAGAAAAATGTACTTTTTTATAAATAAAGAATTTTAAAAGAAAGAGACCTTCTCCTCCTTTTTGGGGCATCCGTGGCTGCGTCGCCGTGCACTCAGTGACTGCTGAGGGGAATCTCATGGCACCTGTTTTCCAATGGTTTGGCTTGGAAATTTCCCAGGATATGCAGTGTTTTTTGGAAATTCCAATTATTTGTGTTTGTATTTTGGAAGGGGACTTGCTTGCAGCTGAAGACTGAAGGCTGAGAGATCTCCAGCAATGGGCTGGAGGTGACTGGGAATGAGTGGGTTTGCCACTGGCATGGTGTTTTTGTGTGGAATTCCTGGACAGCAGATCCAGCACAGGCTAAAGGAGGCTGGCAGAGCTTCCATTTGTTGATGTAAACAGTGAAATTCCTTGGCTGAGGCCCAAAGGTAACCTGAGCTTAAAAATAAACGGCTAGAAAAACACAGGGCAGAAAAATCCATCAGAAAATCTGTGAAAAGTTAGGACAAGTGTCTGTGGCTGAGGAAGTTCTCACTGCTGGCTGCAGCAGACGGGACAGGCTATTGGAAAAATGTCAATATTTCCCTAGAAATGTGGAATTAGCTGGTGGCAGGGCCAGGATGCAGGGACACTGGAGGATGTTTTATAGTGGCACACGTGCCGGCTGTGGCAATGGGGCTTCAACAACCTCTGCAGGCTCAGGGTGAGCTCAGGGTGAGCTCAGGGGACACTGATGCCTTCTGAAGGCTGATCTGGAACAGAGACTAGATGGAGCTAAAGAATAAAGTGGGGATTTATTAAAAAGATCTCCTCCATGGATGCACCTTGGGCAGCACAGGAGCCCAGCCAGGGCTGCACCCAAGATGAACCAAAATGGCCAAAAAATGAACCCAAATGGGCACAAAATGAACCAAAATGGTCCCAAAATGGTCCCAAAATGCACGAGCGCTCCCCGGGGCTCTCCCTGGGATCAGTTCTGCTCCATTGGCACCTTGGAGTTCATTGTCCCATTCCAGCTTTAGCCCAGGCAGTCCCACCCTGCTTGTTTTTCTCTCTCCAGCCCACGCTGTTTGTGCTCCTGGGCTGAGATTTGGATCATTTGTCCTTGGTGCCCAGCTGGAGCAGGAATTGTTTTGTCTCCCTGCTCTGTGCACAGAGCTCAGCATCCCCTCATGTGAAGCCCAGACCCTCACACTGAAGCAGCACAGAATGTGAAAATGCTCAGGATTAGGCTGGGAAGGAGTGGTTTGGTCCCTGGGGCTTGTGCCAGGGCAGCAGGAGGCTGGCACCAGGCTGGTGCCCTGGGTGCAGCCTGGCAGGAGAATCCTCCAAACTCCTGCGCTGCTCACGGGGCCAGGGCTCTGTCCTCCTGCTCTGGGAGGGATCAGAGAGAGCCCTGGGAATGCTTTCATTGTGGAATAGAAGGAAAAACCAGGTTATGAGGTGACCAAGGGGACTTGTGACCACTCTCTGGGCTGTGTCTGCCCTCCCCACATTTCCCCCTCTCATTTTGCCCCTTTAGCCATGGCACCTGCTGGAGGTGCAGCTTTCCTCCAGGACTGACCACAGCTCCTAAAAACCAGCTCCCAGCAGCTGCCTCAGCCACCTCAGCCAACCCTGGGGGTGGAGAGGAACAAAAGGAGCCCTGCAGAGCTGGGGAGAAGGACAGGAGGGGCTGTCCTGGCTGGGATGAGCCCCTGGGAAACGCTGCTCTGATTTCCCAGGCCGGACCTAAAGAGTTCAGCGATGATGGATAAAACCCACGGCCTGGGGCCTCTCCTCAGCAGCTCGGGTTGCAGGGGGCTGAAGGCAGCAGGAGCAGCCCCCCATGCAGTGCCCCCAAGGATTGGGTTTCTTTGGAAGCAAGGAGAAACACCCTGGGGGTGGGAATGCCAGCAGTGCCTGAAGCCCATGGTATAAATAAAAAATAGTGGCTTGGATCCCTTCTCCAAGGCACAGCCCTGCTGGCCCCAAAATGGGGCTGCAGAACCCCAGGTGTTGGAATCTGAGGTATTGATGATTCCGAGATTGTAGAAAGTCTCTGTCTGTCAGCCCCGCTGCCAAAGCAGAAGCCATAATTGGTCTGTGCTGGTTTCAAGGTTGTTTATTCTGTTTATCTCTAACATGTTCTGCTGCCCTGCCGCAGCTCTGTCCTGCAGGGCAGCGTGTGGGGCTCTGCCCTCAGTGGGATGGTACAAACATTAAATACCACAAACTACCTGTGCTGGATTTACAATAACGTGCCAATATCTGTCACCTACGTTGGACAGTGTGTCCCCAGCCTGAACCAACAGAAAAATGCCAACACCACAGTGAAACATGGAGGGCATGAAGAAGGAGAAAAAGGACAAGACACACCCAATTTCCTCCATCTTGTCCCCTTTGGACCCCTCATCTAGAATCCTAAAATTTTACTTTTGCACCCGTGCCACACTTAATTATTACTGATATCAAACACTCAGAGCTGGTAATTGATCCTGTAAGATTGAAAACTCTTTTCCATGGCCAGAGCTCACAGCCAGTGTCTCTGGGGGCTCTGTCCAGGGGGGTTCTGACCCCTGCCAGGGTCCCAGGGCAGCCAGAGGGAAGCTCTGGATTCCCACACCTGGGGAGCAGCACAGGGTGAGGCAGGAGGAGATTTGTGGCTGCTGCGTGCACGGTGCTGAGCGTGGTGGGATTCACCACCCCAGTGCTGGAAGATGCACGTGGAATTTGGGGCTGGAACATCCCTGGTGGAGGTGTGTCACTATAGGACAGTGAAAGCACAACGTGAGCTACTGCTGTTTGTAAGGTGAAAAAAAAGAGAGAGTGTTTATTTTCTAACTCCAGCATTTATATTTTTCCAAAAGTAACAGTAGATTGGAGAGTGAATGTGCCACCTCTCCAAAGACATTAAACAAACTATTAATACATTAAGTTTCTCTACCCTTATAAAAGAATGCAAAACAATAAGTTATTTACAGAAAGTTGTGTAAGAAAATTCTTTAACAAAATATAAACTCAGAAGGCTTTAGAAAATCTTAAGAATCAAGACAAGAGAGGTGCAGAGCCAGGTTCCCATCCTCTGCATCCCCTCACCATTCCTGGCTACCACGGGGGTTTATTTCTGCCCAAATAAAGGGGTTGGAGTAGGATTTGTGGTGAGATACAGCTCAGGGTAATCAGGGAATTTCCAGGGAACCTGCCCCATATCCCTGGAAACAGGTCAGGTCGTGAAATGAGTGACCTTCAATCCCAAATTCCTTGTGAGGTGAGCGGCAAGCCCTGCTCCAGCTCAGCTCAGAGCACTCAAGGTTACACAGAGCCCATTAAATCTCCTCCAGCTACTGCTGGATAAATGGAACCAAGAGAAACTCACGGTGCAGGCTGAATTACTTGTAGCAACAAATATGTTTGATTAAGGTTGTGTTTGGTTTTTTGTTTTTTTGGTTTGGGTTTTTTTTTTTTTTCACTTTCAAATTATTTGCAATCTCCAGTTTGATTTGTATGAACATATTTGTTGGAGGAAATTGCTTTATGCAAATGGATTCCAGCTGAGGGACCTGTGACACCAGAAGTTGTGTCGAGGCTCAGATGCCCTCGGTGGTGCCTGGCAGAAGGCAAGGGGGGCTGGTTCTCTCCTCCTCCTGCCAAACACGGCATTTCACAGCCTTCCCAGACATGTTGAGATGCAGCCTGGATTTAGAGAGTATTTGCAGAACAAGGCTCAGCCTGTAAAAAGAAAAAAAAAAAAAGAAAAAAACAAAAAGAATAAAAAATGGTTGCGTGATGCACTGCTGGAATCTCAGAAATCAGAGAGCCAGGCTGATATTTTCACCTGAAATGTAGGGTACAAATGTTGTGTCACCCTCCAGGGGTTGAATTATGGAAAGGCAGTGATTTATGGACACCAGCCATCCGAGCTGCTCCCTTCACCTGGGGTGAACGTGGCCTCATCTGCCTGAGCCAGGCTCCAGGTGAGGAGGGATGCTCCCTCCTCCCCAGATTTCACAACTCCTGGACCAAACCCAGGTCCTGGTAGGAAGCAGGCAGAGGGTTTTGTCTGGATGGGTGGGGATTTGGGGAGGAAAACGGGTTGAATGTGAACAGTAAATGGTCATTTTCTGCCTCTGTGCAGACAACACTGGGCTGTGGTTTGCTGGGGAGCTCAGCACTGGCTAAATCCCAGGAGGTGATCAGGGATCCAATCCTGAGGGATCAAAGGGAGCTCTGAGAGGAGGGGGTTCTGATTTTCTTGGTTTTCAAGCCCTTTTCCAGCCTCACCCCTGAGTCCCAGGTGCACCTCCACGGAGGGAGGGTGTGGGAATGTTTCCCTCTCTCCCTCATCTCCTGAACCCCCCAAACTCCTGCCAGCCTGCTTTCCTCAGGGTTTGGGAAAGAAATTTGCCAACTTCACACCCGTCAGGTTTAACTGATTGCTCGTGGAGGGATGGGAGGAGAGAGTCCATCCCCATGGCTCTGCTCACCAGGGGAAATTCCTCCATTCCCCGAGGAATAAATCTTCATTTCCACCTCTGCTGCAGCTCCCAGTCCTTGCAGTGACCCTGCCACCAGAACAACGCACAGTGGGTTTCTGCTGGCACCCAGATCTGTCCACCCAGGGCACTGCCCACACCCCAAAATGCTCCAGAATTCCCCCAGCGTGCCCAGCCCAGCTGCTGCCAGCTGTGCTCTGGATGCTGCAGCTGCCTGGGGCTATGGATGGAATGGGAATGGGGTGGGAATGCCAAGTTGGAGTAAACACTGCCCAGCAATAATGCCATGGGGGGGCTTTACAAGGGGAGGAATCATAATTAAATAGAAATTAGTTACCTAAATGGTCACTTCCTAGGGTTTGGTTGACGTCCGATTAACTGAACTTTTAATTTGCATAAGCAATAAATGTTTAATTATGTTATTAATATATTTGAGTTGAGGAGCTTATGGGGTTTTATAATTGGCATTTAACTAGATAGTTCCAGCATATTAACCGATGTTTTATAGCTCCGTGTGAGCTTCTCCAATTATAACTGACCTAAAAATTTGCTTGGAGGACCTGCCTTGGAAGTGTTACCTGAGCA